TTATAAAGACTCGGACAAAGTAACATCAATGTCGATTGGAAGGAACATCCCTGGAAATGAATCTGACTTTATAACCGAAGGCATCAACGGACCAAGATCAATAGCGATCGATGAAACACAAGGGTACGTATTGATCACTCTCATATATCACTGTGATTTATATCAAAGCACTACCACCACCACCACCACTACCGAAAACAACAACAACAACATCAATCATACTATTACTACTACTACAACTAATACTACTAATATTGTATAAATTGATAATGATAATAATAATAATAATAATATTAATGATAATACTACTACTAATAATAATTATATATACTACTATTGATAATGGATAAAGATAATGATAAGAAGAAGAAGAAGAAGAAGAAGAAGAAGAAGAAGAAGAAAATAAAGGAATAAGGAAGGAGAAGAAGAAGAAAATTAAGAAATAAGAAGAAGAAGAAGAAGAAGAAGAAGAAGAAGAAGAAGAAGAAGAAGAAGAAGAAGAAGAAGAAGAAGAAGAGAGAAGAAGAAGAAGAAGAAGAAGAAGAAGAAGTAGAAGAAGATGAAGATGAAGAAGAAGAAGAAGAAGAATGAAAAGAAGAAGAAGAAGGATGAGAAGAAGAAATATGTTTACACGGTAATTCCAAAACAGACCACTATCACTATATTTAGACATTGAGATGGTATGCACAATGTATTTTTTTCTTCAATTTTTAGATATGTTTATGTGTCCATGAGGAGTAAAATCATACGTTCACCTTTGAATCGATCAGGAATCATCGAGGTCGTATTCTATGATCCAGAGCTCCATCAAATCTCCTGTTTAGGCATTGATCTCACCAGTAAGTATTTATATCATTTGGAGATGGTGAATTTTGTTTGTCGAATAATTGATATTCCGAGCATCAATCTGTGTTTATGTAATGTAGGAATGTAGAAAGATGAAACTGGGTGGCATGTAGGCCTACCCCCTAAAGAAATCTCAGATGTCCCTATAATAATTATAGCCCCCCCCCCCCCCAAAAAAAAAGGCTTGAAAAGTGCTATGAAAATAATGGAAACATAAAATTATAATGGGGCACGGACGAACTATTGATTTTATATCTAATTCTATAATGTATTAAAATGTCGATTTTATATATTTTTAATGCAATTTTCCTCTATTCAACGCTTAACCCCCCCCACCCCCCCCACCCCCCCCCCACCCCCATGATTCTCTACCCCTCGCGAAAATCGTTGGAACCCTGTTTCCTCAATGGTTAAATTGCTGTGTTTTATCGTTAACCTCCCTGTATATCCAATATATTTCTGCGGTATGATTTGATAAAGAAGATGACTCGTATAGTCTATGTCGCCATGTTGTCAAGTCTTGGTTTTATATGTCTATAAAGAGGAAAGTGTGTATGAGGGTAGATACTTATGAAGTATTATTAGGCCTACCCCGGGTGGACATTTTACATAAACGTTTCTTGTTTTGTTATGTAAATAATTCGTCTTTTAAAACTGGTAATTCTTAACATGCAGGAAGCACACGGCGTATCATATTTTGCTCTGAGGACAATGAGGTGAGAAGAACTTTCTACAAGGATGTAAGCGCATCATCTCATCAAGATACCACCACCTATCACGAGTTCACCCCCTATCTCCAAGATCCGTTCAATGAAAAGCTGGTAGATGTTACCTACTTCAATGGCGCCCTCTACTTCGTAAAGCAGAATACACCCAAGGGGATAGGTACCATGAGGGATTATGATCATATCAATAGATCCTATGACATTCAAGAAATCAACCAATTTGATAATCCGAAGCGAATGTACATCGCTTACATTTATACCTAATCTTATCTTTCTTATTCCACGCAAACATTCCAATAACCTGCTTAAAATCGCATATGAAGATAAGAAGAGGTAGGCTTATCTACAAAAGCTTTAAGGGAAACATAAATAATTCAGATTATGATCAGGTAATCCCGCCCCCCCCCCCACTCAGTGTTATTTAGGGTACGCGTATGCGTGTTCCAACCGACCCCCCCCCCCCCTTTTCAGCAAAAGTCCGGTGTGTAAAGTCAATACGCCTCGACCTTTTTCTTTTGTATACGAGCCTTTTTCAGCACCCCCCCCCCCCACCTTTTCAGCAAAAGTCCGGTGTGTAAAGTCAATACGGGTCGACCCTTTTCTTTTCGAAAAGGACATTTTGGCAACACGCATGGGGTCCGTCCGTTCTCGGATTGGGGGGGGGGGGGCCGGGCAGGTAATATGTGTTTTGTTAAATGTGATTATAGAGTTATCAACTAAATTATTCATACCCTTGCCAAGTGTTGTAATTTTGTTTAAGTAGGCCTATGTAAAAAAAAAATAGATTTGTCCCAATGTACATTTGTTGCGAATGTGACATATTGAAGCTTGTGTCTAAAGGTATTCAACCAAGGCCCAAATTTACCCAGTCCATCATTCATTCTTGTTAACTGTAAGTATTTTGCTTTTCGATCATCCATTACAATTTAAGAAATGTGACGGAAATGTATTAGTATTTCACATGCAGCTCTCACAGATTGTATGTTGGATGTGATCTCGCACAATGAAATCAGAATTGTCATACAATATGAGCGGTGAATATTGGCCTCCGACCTGTCATTATACAATGAGATGTCGCAGATGAGTTGGACAGTACTTTGTTGCCTTTCAGTTTTCCAATAATGTGATAACTACCGTATATAACTACGTAAGGTAGATACCATTAATATTTTCATTATTGTATTTCGTTATAGTTAGCTTTTATTGATGACACACTTGACAAAATCAAAAACCTGAAAGCACTTGCAGTCAGAAAATACTTTCAGGAGATCATAAACACACCCGCACCCTTTCAAAGAACGAAAACAAAAACAATTACTAGTACGATAAACAACAATTTATATTTTAACAACGATTGTTTATAGCTGAACAGGCTTTGACAAGCCTAGAAGAATAGAAATAGAAAAAACTAATGTTTTGTACAATACGTACTGTTATGTAATGTGGTATACTGCAGGCGCGGATCCAGGATTTCTTAGGGGAGGGGGCCCAACTTTTTTTTTTTCTTGCTCCCGAAAATTTGAAAATCGCGCCCGGCCGAAAAGTCGCTCAGTTCGGGGGGGGGGGGGGGGGGGGGGGGGGGGGGGGGGGGGGGGGGGGGGGGGGGGTACAGAGCACAATTTTTTTTTTTTTTGATCCCGAAAATTTGAAAAACGCGCCGGCCAAAAATTCGCTCAGTGGGGGAGGGGGGGGGGGGGGGGGGGGGGGGTAGTGAGCACATTTTTTTTTTTTTTTGATCCTCTAAAAAATTTCAATTTGCACCCCCCCCCCCCTTGAGCGCCAGGGGGGGGCCCAACCCCCCCAAAAAGGTAAAAATCACGTGATTTTACATGATTTTTTTCTCAAGGGGGGGGGGGCCCCCGGGGCCCCACCCCCCCCCCCCCTGGATCCGCCACTGGTATACTGTTATAATGATCTGGGCCCCGCATTGATCCGAATCAATTGCAAGGCATCTAATCAACCGCAAATGTGCAGTCTCCTATTATATCTCTTATGTACATAGTTGTGATTGATATCAATCGCAAAATAAGTTGTTTATAAAACTGGGCCCTGTTCTTGATATTTTAGCGTAATTATTATGATAGTCATGCCATTTTGCACTATGTTATGCTCAAAACTATCACAAAATTGTGTTCTGGTTGAACAATCAACCGATCACCTGATCTTTGTTTAAAAGCCATATTTATCTTATCGTATTGCCCAATTGCTTGTTGAGACTAAATATTGATCATCATAATCAATTGTACGAAATATCACGTAGCCTATAATATAGCATTATATGTTTCTTAGATGTTGTGAGGATTAAATCTATAAAGAACCACATTGATGTGATATATGCGATAATAGTAAGTTAATACATAGTCATTACCGACTTAATGGGGAATCGTCGACTGGCTGCAGCTACCTAAACGTTTCACACCGACCGGCCAACACACCCCCCCCCCCCCCAGGAAAGAAAAAAGAACAGAGAGAGAGAGAGAGAGAGAGAGAGAGAACAAGGAATTAAGGAGAAAGAGAGAAAGAAAGATGAAGGGAGAACGGAAGGAAAGTAGGAAGGTATAAGAAAGAAAGATAAGGCATTAAAACAACATTTTCCTTCCCCAGTTTTTTTAATGACTGTATGATTGAATATATCTGAGGGGAAGAATCTCGAATCGTATAACTAAATGAAGACTATATTTGTTTTATTTTTATATATTCATTATTGTTTGAGAGGGCCCAGCCGAGCTCATGCTGCAACGACCGTCGAGAGAAACAATTTTTGCATTTTGTATTTTAAATCCTCTGCATTACAATATAGCAATATCGAAATATGATCCAAACAATCAATCTGTCTCCAATTTGGCTAAGACAGCATTTCTTTTTGAGGCGATCTTTGGTGATTACTCAACTTAATGGTGATATATACGTACGCCTTTCCAGTTTCAGAATAGTCCAGGAGCTGATCGAGAGATCATTCCTGGAATCAATTAGCGCCGAACCTAGGCCCAGGGAAGATATCTTGAACTTTGTCACTGTATTCCTGTTTCATTTCTCCTTCGGCCTAGATCTCTCCTCCTCTAATACTTCGACCAAACCCCCCCCCCCAAAAAAAAAAAAAAAAATATATATATAAAAAAATAATAATTAGAAATCCGCATTCGAGAAGGGAGGGAGGGGGGGGGGGGGTATGTACGGACCGTGCCCCATTTTCCGCGCCCCTCATGAGCCGCCATGGAAATCAAATGAAATTGAAAGGACATATGACGAACTAGATTATAAAATTACCAAACCATTCGGTTAATTTCACTCAAAATCGAATAACCATTTGTAAAAATTGAACATAATTGATGAATGCTGATGTGGATAATGATTGTTGTGTTGACGTGTGACGTGCGGCGCGTGTATACAGTAGATGTCAGTGTATACACGTAGTATTCACAAGTACACGCATAATTCTCATGCATGAATGATTATCCTCCGACGATGGCAGAAGAGTCATATCAAGATTCGGGCTCATCAATGCCTGAATACTCGGATGAAATTCGCCGAATGATTGACATTCAGATAGGAAATGATATCAAGAAACTCTCTCTTACCGAAGATATGCTTCAAAATGCACTAGACGAAAAGGCACGGATAGAACAAGAGGTAAATTTCACAGATTTGTTTTGACCTCGGTCCCATACGTTTATTTTAGCGTTGGATTTGTAAAAACTTTTTCAGTGTTCAGGTTTCGTTGAACTTGAATTGGATTTCGTATCTTGACTGTTTTCATGTTTGACATCCAATCATAAGTGACTATGTATGATGGCCTAGCTAGCAAAATATATATTAAAGGATCCAGCCTAGATCTAGACCTAGCAATAGAATATATGTAGATGAAAGATTTGTCAACGGACAACGGAACGGTTAATTTTCCCCATTATTTTTGTTGTTGTTCATAGACGTAGCCTTAGAAAGATAACCTAGCAGATAGATGGACATTGAGGTCTAGTTTTCTAGAAAAATATATGTTTTAATAAAACAATGACCATGATATATTAATGAGTATGTAAATCAGAGTAGCAGACTGATGAAGTTTGAACAAATTCTGTCGAACAAAAGGAAGTTATGATATGATTATGAATATTTGAAAGTTGTATTATCACTATCTATGCGTATGGGAACTTCAAATTGGCTGAATCATTAAAGTCACTGTGATGTAGGCAGGACAACTATCCAATTTGTTCCAACACACAAAATGATTTAAATGTCAATTTTTATTTCAAAATTTATGACTCTGGAGTCTGGAGAGTCTTTTCTCTTTACAAGACAAGTACAGTCAGTAGGCCTATACTATCAATGATATTTTTTGAGTAGTGCCCCAACGGCCAACGAAAGGGGTACTTGGGAGAAATTTATAAAGAAATCAATGTTATTTTGTACATGAATAACGGGAGAGTAGTCTATGATTATGTCACAATGCGCTGACAGAATTATCCATTTGAGATTTGCATCTATAGAGGATAGTGATCTCATATCTCAAGCATTCATAACCCTCTAACTATTGGCCCAATTTATTTCAAAGTTTCGCCAAGTTGCCAACCAGGGTTGGATTGTCCTAGTTTAAGTAAAATATCTTTCTTTGAACAATTATTATCAGTTATCAACCGCTAGCACTGAAGCCCCATCAAGAATACAGAGTGCCCTTCTAGAGGCAACAGCAGCTACGGAACGCTTGGATGACTTGACAGCAGACTACAAACAAACCAGACGTCTGGTAACGAGTCAGGTGACCCAAGCTGAGCCAATGGTGACACACCTAGTTGGTCTGACAAACCAAGTACAGGAGCTAGAGAGATGTATGGAGTACTTGAAATGGATGGCTATGGTTGAAGATCTAAGGTGAGCTCCAATCTTTACTTGTCAGAAAGCAGTTTTAGACAGACTTGGGTTGATACAAAAGGAAAAAAGTCTAAGATACGACCTAATGTACATCGCATAAAAACTCTTAATTTGCCTTTTCAAACATCTGAAATAATCAGGAAAGGATTATTTTCCTGTCATAATTGGATATACTGTACATGATTTAAAAAGAATGTAGATGGAGGAAATTATGGGTCTAACTGAAGTACATGAAATGCTACAATTCAAGCCAGACATAAATGATATTTTAAACATACAATGTACTGAAAGATTTTTTCTCCTTTTCTTCAGACTATGATCTATGTAATCTCCCATTAGACACCTCTACTGTAACCTTTGTTGTAGACCTTTTCTCTTTAGTAATGGAATTTCACCTTTCTTTCCCTCTCTCTCCTCACATCTTTTGACCAATCCGGTACCATTGCATCTTTGCCAACATTTCACATCAATTGGAACCCATTTTAAAGTACATCTCCACCTTCCTGCCTGTCTGATAAATTGATGATTTATTTTATTTATTAAATTTATTACATTTTTGAAAATGCTTTCATGTTAATGATCCAATATATTTTAAACCTATAATCTTTGCACCAATATGTATTTAACCTGTGATTTGACATCTTTGTGACACCTGACATGTAATGTGTATCTACACTAAATGAAAACTTATCAACTATTCACTTTCTTGTGAAATGAACTTTCACTGTGTGTTTGAAATATGCTGGTGCATTGTAATGCTTCCTGCAATTCATTCTTCAATTGAGATGTTAATCCATTTGATCATGAATTAACCCATTTTCTTCACAAATCTTCATTATTCATTCACTTCAAATCTTATTGCTTTTATTCTCTCTCTCTCTCTTTCCCTTTCTCTCTCTTCCTTTCTCATTGCCCTCTGCAACCATCCTACCAAAACCTATCTCATTCAAAATGTTTGCATTTGACATCCCAATTTGTGCTTTTACCTTTCTCCATCATGTTTTGATTCTTGTTTGTCCTGCTTTAACTTTTATTTAATCAAATAACCAAAATGATTTTTTATTAATGGAATAAATTGTTTACACACCCTTTCCCCTTTTTACATACTATATCTTCCATCAATCCTCTCTACTGTTCACCTTGTAAGTTTAATGTAAACCTTTTCCCCTTTGTTTTGCTCTATTCTTTTCCTATCGTTTTTTTTCTCTAATAATTTTACATGTTATTAACTTCATCCATACTGAGTTCCAATGGCTTCATTTGTAACTAAATCTGCCACCCTGTAAAGTACCATTTCTTCATTGTTTTTCCCTTCATCATTTCATCTACATGAATTGAACAATAAATCCTTGTGTCACACCTTAAATACATTCATCACCCATTCTTTGCTCCATCTTCTTGTCATTCATCCACCCATCTCTCTATCTATATATCTATCTATCCACCATTCACATATTGTGTCCATCACACTTTCCTTTCTTTCCTGCATACATGTATCGATCAAACCAAATCATCCTCCCTATCTTTCTCTCACCTTTCTTCATGCACCATTGTCTTATCAACTCTTCCATCCATCCATCCACTCTTTCATCCTCCATCCATCCATCCACCATCCATCCATCCACCTTTCATCCATCCATCCATCCATTCATCCACCCTTTTCATCCTTCATTCATCCACCCTTTTCATCCTCCGTCCATCCATCCATCCATCCTTTTCATCCTTCCCTCCATCATCAATCATGCGCTCTATCCTCTGGTGGTGTAACGCACGTACAGCACTGAAATCCAAGGCTCACTCCTGGTGAACTCAGCCCCGTTTGCCTTGTTTCACAGCTCCGTCGTCCAGCAGTCCCTGTCGGCCAATGCCATGCCCAGTGCGGTGGAACACTTTGCCAGACTTGCTAAGGTCAGCCATGCTCTACAGGGGTCAACCTGCGTTAACCTGGTGGACTTTGTGGATCGGACCGTGCTCTTCTGGCATAAGATCCTCAAGGAGAAACTAGAAAGGTCAGTTTACAAAATGAGATCATACGTACAGAATTATCCATCCATGTATCTCTTTTGAACTTTTAAGCCTCTTTAAGATATGCAGAGGTCAACCACAGTGGTTTTTTAATGATGATGTAAAGCTAACATGCTTCACATTTCTGTACCTAATACCCTTTTCTAACTGCACTGATTTTCATCGAATGCATCCGGACGCATCCGATGAAACAGCCAGTATGAAAGCAACAGAGGAGAAAAAGGCGATTAAATAGCCGATGAAAAGAAGAGAAATAGGTGATTAAATTCTCATTCTATCGGTCTGACACCGATGAAACGGCCAGTTAGAAAGCGTTCGGGAGAAAAAGGCGATTAAAACAGCGATTAAAATGGTCAAAGGTCGCAGTGTACGCGCGCTTTTTCGTAACCAGCTTTGTTTGTTGACTTATGGTTGAACATGCTGCATGCTAGCTAGATGGAGCGCGGGCTTAATAATTACGCAATAATTCTTCACTTCCGACATGGGCTCGCCACAGCGAGAGAATTTATTTGGCAGTTAGAATGCGACGGGGGAAACTACGGTTTCACCTTTGTTTACATAAGGAAAATTCAATCAGTATTTTGATCGGTGTGACTCCGATAGAAGCCAGTTTGAAAGCAGTATAACACGGATGTCACTGAATAGGCAAAGGACCGTTTTTGCAGTAACTTGTTTATTATTTTCACCTTTTTGGGGCGTTTATCCATAAATATCTATAAATTTAATAAATTTAATATAATAAGATATATTATTGCATATCATTCTATTCTGTCATGTTAATTATTAATGATAATCATTTTGAATGATTTAAATCTTTATTCCTCTGTATGAAATCAGTGAGTTTGAGGAGGTTTTGAAGTTACTTGGCTGGCCCTTTGTGTCGTCTACTGCTCCTCTCCCCGCTGCTAACCTGACTGAACTCACAGCTAAACTCAAGGTATTACTCCTACAACTCATCAAGCTACAGCTTCCGTATCCTTAGCAAATCATTGTCATACCAGGGGGTGTTTCACAAAGACTAAGATCGATTTTAAGTTGGACTTAACTATGGCAGGCCTTTCATGCCAGTATTTTCTCTCTCCATTTACTGGCATTTGTCTCTCAAGGTACGTACAAATTGTGGTCACAAATCTAAAGAATTTACCTGATTTGAAAGTTCATTATTGAAGAAAAGAAAAATTATCTTAATATCATAATTCAGAGACCAATGGTGAGAGCAACCAGTGGCATGAATGGCCTGCCATAGTTAAGTCCAACTTAAAGTCGATCTTAGTCTTTGTGAAACCTCCCCCGTTCTCTATTTTGTTGTTGTCCTGGCAAACATTGAATACTACCGGGCACTGTTTCACGAAACCGTCAGAAGTACAAGTTCACTGCCATCCCATTCAAATTGTCAAATTTAATACATGCGTTTCAATGGGTTGTTGGTGAACCTGCACTTGTGATGGTTTTGTGAAAAATTGCGTAGACGTTCAACACTGTAGTATATCATTGACACATTTATAGTTGCCCTAATATATAAGATTATGCCAAAGTAAGACGTGAGGGTGGGCTGCTTCTACTCTTGTGTTTTTTATTTGGATTTATGAATAATAATAATATATCTTGTTTATCCAGGTGTAGCCTCATCAGTATTCATACGGTTCTCCCTGAGGGCCCTGCAATAAACCATGATGCTAAAGTGCCTATCACCCAATAAATCTCATTTCTGGATATTGCATGTCTGCAGTAGGATGTCTACAGGAAGGATCTGAAATTGAAGAAATAATACTGATTTTTAGCTTTACTCTGTAGATAGAAATGTAAAATGTGTTGTGGTGTACAAATGAACCAAATCACATGAAATGGAGGTTGTATGGCTTTAGTTCAATTTCAATTTCAATTTTATTTATTTCCACAGATTCGTAAAAGACAATATAAATTACAATAAAATATAATGCATTAAAACAAATATGAACCTGCAGAGGGGGTGATAAAACACCACAGAGATTTATCGGGGATCATCCCCTGCTTAAAATTACGATATTAAAATACAATAATAGTTGAAGAGCTCTGTTCTCAGTTTCTTGGAACAAGAATGTCTTGGGTTCAAGTTCAAAGTTAGTGCAATAGTACCCTTATTAGGAGTCAGAATAGTGATAATCCCTTAACTAGGACTACAAGATTTAAGTCCCCTGGATAATTAATGGCATGTTAGCATATTCCTAGAACATGTATTTGATGATGCAATAGTCTCCTTGACTCGCTGAACTCAGAGAAGCATTGGCAGCTGAAGACGAGACATCTCAAGATTACCTCATCATTCCAGGATCAACCCCTCTGCTCCTACCTCTCCAGTTACTCCTTCAGCCTCTCAAGAAGAGATTCAAATATCACTTCTATGGCAAGAAACTCACTAACAGCATTGATAAGGTAATACTCCCTCATTCCATCCGTCATCTCCATTCTTAAAACCCCACTGTACTACTTGTAGCTACTTGCTCCTTCTATATAGAAAACAATGCCTAAGTGTACCCGTTGGTCCCCCATGATCCTCTTTTATTTATGTTAATTGAGAGCTGAGTTGATGAGATAGCCACCTGTCAGTGACCTTGCAGGGTGGTCTAATCCCGCCTTGCCAACCTAGTACAGATGGCCTTTAAAGTACCCAACTCGTTGTCAACTCATGTCACCTTTGACAGCATAGACACTTTCAATTCACTTTACATTTGACCTTTGAACTTATAGACAAGATTCATGAATTCTGGCACCTCTTTTGACCTCCAAAATTGTAGATAAGTTGTCTTACTTTGCATTAATTCATTTTAACCTTGTACACTTGATAGCATTGATAAGGCATTGACACGTATCTTGTGTCAAATCATTGACCATCGATGTATTGTCTAGCTTAGACCACCCCAAATGCAATTCTTAGGTTTCATTCATTTGAGTTGAATCAAAATCAAAATATTAAATAAATAAGCAAAAGAGAGGGGAGAAATAGTAGATCATTAGGTCATAGTCGTGACTTTTTTATGTGCAAAACACAACCAATATCAGTTCTATTTGTACTGTAATGCATACACTTACCTAATATTTCCTCAGTTATGCTACATGAGGTAGTGACTTAATCCATGTTTATTATGTGTTTGTCTTGGTTTCAGCCTGAATGGTATTTCACCCAGATATTGAATTGGATCAGAGACCATTCTGAGTTTCTTCAGAGCAATGTTCAACCAATATTAAGTGAAGACAAAACTCTCAATATAGAAGCAAGGGTAAGTTATTATAAGGATGTAGAAGTGTGAGATATATTATCAATCATTGTAGGTCTGCTTTTGAAATTTCTGAATCAATAACAGCTGAGAAAGAGCTACCTGTAAATACTTCCTTTCCTGTATCTATATGCAAAATTTAATCAGTTATCATATGTACAACATTGTAAACAAATTATGAAAAACTAAATATAGTCATAAATGTGATACATATACACATGTACACATAATATGTTTGTAATATATATGTCATACTTGCTGAAAAAGGGTACAAGCTATGTGGCTGATATTGTATTTTTATTTTATTTGAAAATCCACAAATAATTTGGCCTTTCGGTCAAGGTAGATTGCTGTAATAAATATATAAATAAAACCACATAATTTGATTTGCACTGAGATATCTCAGAGTGTAATTACAAGATCTTATATACAGTCAACCCTGCTTTAGTGACCACCTGTCTACAAGGACCACATTTGTCGTTTCCCTTGAAAATGGTTTCTCATTGAATTATGTACTAAAGGAACCTGTCTACAAAGACCACCTGTCTACATAGGCCACTTTTTGTGTTTCCCTTGGGCGGTCGCTATAGACATGTTTGACTGTATAATCTCAGTAAATCGATGCCACTATATTTTCAAACTTTGTGTTTTCAGACTGAGTTTACCCGAGGTCTTCTCCACACTGTAGCGGCCAAACTCAAACATGACATTCCAGAGCTTCTCTTCGATGACCAGCTCCTCTGCCATACCATTGATGAACTACTGCTGTTTGATAAAGAGCTGAGGAACTCTTACCACTATCCAAACAACCAACCTGGATGCTTACATATACTCACTGAACAGGCTTGCTTTGATAAGTGGATTGCTATAGAGAGACAGTGTAAGTTACAGAGCAGGGATGGATTCAATTTCATTTTCTGTGATTTACGGTAAACTATGCAGACCTAAAGACTCATCCAGACATGATGCAGTACATCCCCTTTAACCCTACAGCTCTTTCTCTTGATAGAACCTTGCAACATGTTGAAAATAAGCTTATTTCATTCATTTCTTTGATTGTATGTTGTAGTTGCAGGTCAGAAGCTGGATAATTTGTTCTCATCACCACCTGCCTATAAAGACCACTTATCTTGTCTCCCTTGGGTGGTCTTTATAGACAGGTTTTACTGTAGTTGTAACATTTTGAAAATAGGCTGATTTGATTTCTTTCTTTGATTGTATGTTGTAGTTGCAGGTCAGAAGCTGGATACTCTTTTCTCGTCGCCCTCAGCTTGGCAGTCACAGTATAAGGGTATGATGGAAGCAGATGAATCCAAGGTGCCTGAATGTGTAGAATCATTCATGACACTCTTACTCGTTATTACAGGTATGTAACATCACTCCTAGATTCTTACAAATTTAATCACAATGACATATCTCCATCCCCCCCCCCCCCCCCATCAAATGGCATGACGCTCTACTCATTATTACAGGTATGTAACATCACTCCTGCATTCTTGCATACTTACTTACAATGACATATCTCCATCCCCCCATCAAATGGCATGACGCTGTTACTCATTATTACAGGTATGTGTCATCACTTCTACATTCATTCGTATTCACTCATGATAGTGTCGCTATTAATGTTTACTGCATGACCAGATGCATTCCTTTTTTAAAACACGAAGTGCCACTACAATGTGCTAAATCTTTTCACCTTTACCACAATTTTATGATATATGTACAAGTATGAGATTTATAATGTTTACCATCTACCGGTACACATACTGTTTACCCTGGCAACTATAGGGGGGTGCAATCAACTACATACATGTACATTGTATACCTGTTTTGGTTGTTTCTCCTATCCATTATAACCCAGCCCTTGATGTATACATACAACTTTTTTTTTAAAGTGAAGGTGATTAGTTGTTGACTCCTTGTGCACTATTAAAAAGAAAAATACCAGATGCCTAATAGCAGCACAAGCTCAAAACATTGCCTGTGGATGTCTCTGCCAGTTTAAAATTGGCCTCTTTAGCCATCAGAGGTCACACAGGAGTTTCCAAAACCAAATGTAGTCTACAGTAGCTCTAGACATCCTCAAAATCAAGGCGACAACCTTTATGTTCAAATTCTTGCAAGATTTTTAATCCTTTGAGAAACCCCATCTCTTTTCAGAGCGTTACAAGGTGCTGCCGTCCCCGTCCCATCATCTCAGATTCCTTGACCTTCAGATTGACCTCTTGGATGACTTCCGGGTCAGGTTGCTTCAGGTCATGAGGCAGGAGGCATCCAATCCGCTAGGAGACCACTATGCTGCCATCTTGAATGGAGTTCATTATATCATCATGGTGCTGGGAGAATGGTCTGACCAAGTGGTGGGTGATGAGTATGTCTTCGGTTGCAGGAGAGTGGGTGGGGAGGGGGGGGGGGGATCCTGGAGGAGACCATTACCTCCTATTACCTTACCTAATACAGTGAAACTTGGTTTGCTTGGGGTCACCATAGACAGGTCCATTCCCTGGAGACTATTTCCACCCTTTATTCAATAATTTGGATTATATCCATGCAGTCTGTACCTCAAATTATTATGATCCCCCTTCCTATTTAAAAATAGATCAGTGCCCCTTGTTGGTTGTATAGACATATTTCCCACACTTTCAAGAATTTTGCCTTAATTTTAGAGTGGCACTTTTTTATTAGTTTGATTTAGTACTTTTTATGCCTCCGTTACGAAGTAGCCGGAGGCATTATGTTTTCGGGTTGTCCGTCCGTCCGTCCGTACGTACATACGTACGTCCCGTTCTTGTGATCGCGTTATCTGAAGAACCGATCGATGGATTCCTGCCAAACTTTGGTCATGTATGTATCTTGCAGAGCCGATGAACTGATTAGATTTTGGGGTCACGAGGTCAAAGGTCAAAGGTCACAGGGCTCATTAGGTATGCAAAAACAGCTCGTGATCGCGTTATCTGAAGAACCGATTGATGGATTCCTGCCAAACTTTGGTCATGTATGTATCTTGCAGAGCCAATGAACTGATTAGATTTTGGGGTCATGCGGTTAAAGGTCAAAGGCCACAGCACACATTATGTATGCAAAAACAGCTTGTGATCGCGTTATCTCAAGAACCGATTGATGGATTCCTGCCAAATTAGGTCATGTATGTTACTTGCAGAGCCAATGAACTGAGTAGATTCTTGGTTCATAAGGTCAAAGGTCAAAGATCATGGGCTCATTATGTATGCAAAAATAGCTTGTGAATGCATTCTCATTAGAACTGACAGATGGATTACTATTTAACTCAGGACATCTTGCAGAGCCAATGAACTGAGTAGATTTTAGGGTCATGAGGTCAAAGATCAAAGGGTCATATATGTATATGAGAAATTGCTTGTAATCACGATATTCCGAGAACCTGTCAATGGATTACAATTGAACTTGAATTCGAAAAATTTCTTCTGTTTTGGTTTGTAAAATTGCTCTATGACGGAGGCATCATTTTCGACTGCGCGCAGTCAAATTCCATCTAGTTTTATATGTATATTATTGAATTCTCAGGGTTAATTAGAGTCTGGTAACATAAATTAATTTTTTGTTTTATAAACATGTTACAAATTTGTATAACACGGTACTACATATAGAAGTTTCAAATAGTACTTTGATTAAATTCCAGACCATATATTAACTGTTGATTATTGATTCTCTCTATACCCTTCTGCAGTTCTTCTTGCAGCTACAGTACTTTGGGAAGGAGCAATCTCGTATGGAGAGTCTCAATGCACAGCTAGCAGAAGGGAAGTCCCCAAGCTTACCAACGGTAAGACCCATCATATCATAGTACACCAGGGGGGTGTTTCACAAAGATCCTAAGTCAAACTTAACTCTAAGTTGGACTTAAAAAATTATGGAGAGCCATTTGTAGCCTTGAAATAAAATATATTCAAAAGTAAAAATTCAAGTATTTTAGACTTTTCATAAATTCCACATCAAGAACATGGAATCTCCTTGATAATAGAAAGTATGAATGATTTGAATCAACCCTTTATGCCTTTTAAAAAAACTTTTGCAAAATATTTTCAAACATGCTAACAGCTTTCCATAATCATTAAGTCCAACTTAGAGATAAGTTCAACTTAGGATCTTTGTGAAACACCCCCCTGCATATTATGACAAAGAAATCGAAACATCCAATCAAAACTACCAATAGAAGAATAATTTTGATATCATTTCTTATTTCTAAATGTAGAAACTCCAGTTGAACCAATGAAGATATCGTGTTCTACTAAGAGCAATTATAGATATTGTATTCAGAGAAGTCTACCTTTTCACCATTTGCTCTTATGTTTGATTTGTAACTTATTTGTGATTTTGAGATACATAAATAACAGAAATATAAGGGTGAAGAAAACTGAGTTTTTATTAATACATTAATACAAAAACTAGGCTTGATTCAAGTTGAACTCTTATATTGCCATATATATATCAGTTTCTGCTCTAAAAGTAAATTGCAAAGAATATTGGTGAATCGATGCTAATGTCTTATTAGAGTAGAACAAGATACATTCATGGAAGGCAAGATTTCAATCAATCTAATTAATTCTTCTTTAGTACTAATATAGGTTTCACAGCTCCAGGTAGGCGAAGGTAGGGTAATTGAATTATCAGAAACTCATCTGTAAAGACTTGTAATGTATATTAGATGCCTGTATATGGTATCATTTTGCAATAATTTGATTTGCTTTGATCTATAAAAGCATGCCAACACACTGTTTTTTCTATATTTGTTTGAAATGGAGTTTTACTAATAAAGTTCTCACTTTCTTATAACAAAAAAATATATATGTAAGATAATTTCCTAATTCTAATTTTGTAGTCATTTACCCGAAAATGGCCTTGTAAGTTTGGTGCTCTCTCAGCTAAGGGTGATTAATTCCACCCCTTACCCCCTGGTCTTGGCCATGGAGCGCTAGAAACTTTTAGAACTTGGCATACAGATAGAGTATCTAATATAGAAGCAGCCCATGAAGTTTCATGTCTATATCTCATTTGCAATTGTGAAAGAAACGGTGTGGAATCAATCAGAAAAAGGTTGATCACCTAGCATATAAATATTTGTGTGTACTGCAAGGTTCTGGAATCATCACAATGATAAGAAGTTTGGCCCAGTCTTGGTAAAGTAACAAGCACTGTACACAGAAAGATGTATATGACTACACAAGCATGTGGGATAAATATGAGGCCCACATTTTTAAGCTTGCATAATAACAATGAAAAAGCTCACAAATTATTTTTCACCTCTTCCCAGAGCTCACCCCTCCATTTAAACCATAATGACACTGTCAGTAATATGATAATGTATCTTTAAGTGAGAACCATTTTGTCTAATTCGAATTACAGCATTATTTAGCCAAATCTATATAGAATATACCAAGAATAGATCCTAATATAATGTGCCTCTACGCGCTAATCATGATTTGGCAACAATTTTTTTCTTTATTGTTCTTTTTGTTTTCAATTTAATAATAATAATATACTGTATTTATGTAGCACATATGGCAATATGTCTCTATGCACTGTAAGAAAGAGTAAGAAGGAAAGGTGGATAGAGTAACATAAGAAGAGTGAGACATGCTCAACATACTTTCTCTCGTTAACATTGGAAAGTATTTTTGAAAAGAAATGTTTTAAGATGCACCTTAAAGTGTGTCAACAGTATCACAGTTTTTTAGATTTTCTGGTAATTTATTCCAAAGTTCGACCGATGCAACCTGAAAAGAGCGAGACCCATAGAATTTATTATTTATTTGTGGAATGGTGAGGAGAGACTTTAAGGGAAGATCTGAGGGTTCTAGTAGATGCAGTAGTATTAGCAAAATACACAGTTATAAAATTCAAGACAGTTGTTGAGCAAATACCTAAAAAGTTTTGAAGAAAGATTGAGAGTGCTGCAAGCAGCTGTCAGGCGCTCAACAGTACAACTAATTTTATTTCTTCTTTCCTTATCACCTTTTCTCCCTCTGTACAGTTACTTGCTGGCAGTCCTACTGAAGCCCTGTCAGGGACGGTCTTTGATGAGATTCTCTCCTTGTTTGAGCTACTCTGTCAGGATATGTGTTCCACCATAGAGAAGAGAGTAGTCAATGAAATCAAGGACAAGGCCAGAGCTTATCAGAAAGAAAAGTAAGAATCTCTCAACATTTATTATTACAGTCAAACCTGCTTTAACAAACAACTGTATAGAAAGACCACCTGTCTACAAAGACCACCTGTCTACAAAGACCACTGTCTACAAAGACCACATGTATAGAAAGACCACCTGTCTACAAAGACCACTGTCTACAAAGACCACCTGTCTACAAAGACCACATGTATAGAAAGACCACCTGTCTACAAAGACCACATGTATAGAAAGACCACCTGTCTACAAAGACCACACGTATAGAAAGACCACCTGTCTACAAAGACCACATGTATAGAAAGACCACCTGTCTACAAAGACCACTGTCTACAAAGACCACATGTCAACAAAGACCACATGTATAGAAAGACCACCTGTCTACAAAGACCACATGTATAGAAAGACCACCTGTCTACAAAGACCACTGTCTACAAAGACCACATGTCAACAAAGACCACATGTATAGAAAGACCACCTGTCTACAAAGACCACATGTATAGAAAGACCACCTGTCTACAAAGACCACTGTCTACAAAGACCACATGTCAACAAAGACCACATGTATAGAAAGACCACCTGTCTACAAAGACCACATGTATAGAAAGACCACCTGTCTACAAAGACCACTGTCTACAAAGACCACATGTCAACAAAGACCACATGTATAGAAAGACCACCTGTCTACAAAGACCACATGTATAGAAAGACCACCTGTCTACAAAGACCACACGTATAGAAAGACCACCTGTCTACAAAGACCACATGTATAGAAAGACCACCTGTCTACAAAGACCACTGTCTACAAAGACCACATGTCAACAAAGACCACATGTATAGAAAGACCACCTGTCTACAAAGACCACATGTATAGAAAGACCACCTGTCTACAAAGACCACACGTATAGAAAGACCACCTGTCTACAAAGACCACATGTATAGAAAGACCACCTGTCTACAAAGACCACTGTCTACAAAGACCACATGTCAACAAAGACCACATGTATAGAAAGACCACCTGTCTACAAAGACCACATGTATAGAAAGACCACCTGTCTACAAAGACCACTGTCTACAAAGACCACATGTCAACAAAGACCACATGTATAGAAAGACCACCTGTCTACAAAGACCACATGTATAGAAAGACCACCTGTCTACAAAGACCACTGTCTACAAAGACCACATGTCAACAAAGACCACATGTATAGAAAGACCACCTGTCTACAAAGACCACATGTATAGAAAGACCACCTGTCTACAAAGACCACACGTATAGAAAGACCACCTGTCTACAAAGACCACATGTATAGAAAGACCACCTGTCTACAAAGACCACTGTCTACAAAGACCACATGTCAACAAAGACCACATGTATAGAAAGACCACCTGTCTACAAAGACCACATGTATAGAAAGACCACCTGTCTACAAAGACCACTGTCTACAAAGACCACATGTCAACAAAGACCACACGTATAGAAAGACCACATGTCTACAAAGACCACATGTATAGAAAGACCACATGTCAACAAAGACCACATGTATAGAAAGACCACCTGTCTACAAAGACCACATGTATAGAAAGACCACCTGTCTACAAAGACCACATGTATAGAAAGACCACCTGTCTACAAAGACCACTGTCTACAAAGACCACATGTCAACAAAGACCACATGTATAGAAAGACCACATGTCTACAAAGACCACATGTATAGAAAGACCACATGTCAACAAAGACCACATGTATAGAAAGACCACCTGTCTACAAAGACCACATGTATAGAAAGACCACCTGTCTACAAAGACCACTGTCTACAAAGACCACATGTCAACAAAGACCACACGTATAGAAAGACCACCTGTCTACAAAGACCACATTTTTTGTTTCCCTTGAAATGGTTTCTCAATGAAACATGTACTTAAAGAATCTATACATAAAGACCACCTGCCTATAAAGACCACTTTTCTTGTCTTCCTTGGGTGGTCTTTAAAGACAGGTTTCACTGTATCACAGTATTGCTACAAGTAGAGATGGAGACTCCTGAAATAAGGTTTGAGCAATAGGCTTATGTAATGTAACCAAATTTAAAGTATACGTCTTTGTGAAGTGCCTCGATACAAACTATTTTTATTCACCTGAAGAATAATAGTATCTCAACAGTTATGGCTTGCCCTACCTAGCAACACTTAATACATGCAGTTTGCATTCTGACTATTGAAATACTATTATTCTTCAGGTGAATTAAATAGTTTGTATCGAGGCACTTCACAAAGACTTATTCATTAAATTTGGTTACGTTATGATAATGGCATATTACAACTAGATATTGATTTAGATCTAGTTTGTTACTTCCTCTAAATTTATAGCTAGCTAAAAAAATATTTGACTGATTCATCTAATTGGTTTCAATTAAGATCTGTGTGAGTGCAAATGAAATGTTGTTTAGATCTACGAACATGTAAGGTAGAAAACTATGATTAATCTAGTACATGTAACCAAGTCTAATACCTAAGTGTAACTTCGGCCCGCTCCACAGACTATCATGATTTTTAGAGATCAGGGCCCCCGTCTTCTGAAGAGTTGCGATTGATCAGAATCAATCACAAATTTGCCAATCAAAAGCAAGTTTGCAGTCCTCTATCTCTAATGTACATAGTTGCGATTGATATGAATCGCAAATAAGATGTAATTAATTGTCACTATTTATAAGACAGGGCCCAGATCTATCTTCTTTGATCGACCTTGATTGACCTCGCCTTGTGGTATTGTATCACTTTCCTATGGGGATGATGAAAAGATATACTCTGCCTGAACTTCAGATACAAGTCAAATCTTAAGGGGTTTCAGAGTGTCTTTAGAGGGGGTTTGGAGGCAATGCCCTCCCCTCCCCAGGAAATAGATAGTTGCTGTCACCTCAACCCCGAAGATTTCACAAGAGCTCCGATATAGGCTGTGTGTATTCAGAAAAGGTACCATTCTTACATGTACATGTAGAACCAACCTTGCCAGACTCCTAACAGTGTAATTCACTGAAAGCATGATGACTAATATTTCAAGTAATCTCTGGAATGTGACTGAAGTACTTTGGTACAAAAAAGAGGACAGGAAAAAACAAGATAGATTGCAGAAAATCTCTTCTGTTGCAATAATTCCTTATAGAATATATGATGTCCTTGGGGGTTATTGTCCATTAGGTACATGTGGTCACGTATCATATCGGGTGCCTCTGGACTTGTATATAGCAATACCCTTTCTGTGGTAACCATGTCGTGGACTCATTTCATCCATGAAGAATATTGGCGTCATGTGAAGGATTGAGGCTTACCACAGCTATATATAAATATTTATGTTTTATCTATGTTTGTTTGATTTGCTTTTTATCTGGTTTGATATATGCATTGTTTAACTTCTTGATCATGGGTTGTGTTACGTTGCTAGATATACATGTAAGTGTAGATGTAGCTTTAATTATAGAAAGATATCACCTTAGAGAGGGAAAATGAAGCCCAAGCTTTATCTGGGACAGATCCCCTGAAGAAAAAAGTTATAAAAAATGTAATCAAATCCAATAATTGGAAGGGAAAAAAATTCTTTCCTTTATAGCTCCTAAACATTAAACTTGAATTGAACAGGCCTGATAACAACCTGATTTAAATCGGTTTCCCAATTTTTAAAAAAAAAATCCAGATTCTTTCCCAATTTTTTTTTTCTTCCCGATTTAAAAAAAAAAAAAAAAAAAAAATCCAGATTTTTTTTTCTTTTTTTTTCTTCCCTATTTTAGCCTGATTTTCCCAATTTTGCCCTTATCTTCTCTATTCTTTCCTATTTTGCCCTATTTTTTCCCAATTTTCTTACACGAAAGGGGGGAATGTTGTTAGATGCCATTTTTTCTCTTCTTTGTTTTTTACTCAAGGGGGGCGTGGTTGAGGGGAAAACAAAAATTTTTTTTTTTTTTTTAGTGCTCACTTTAGTGCTGAATTCATTTCCTGAACTCCATTTCAAAAACGTATAAACAGTATTAGGACACCAGTTGTCTGGCTTCTTCCTGATTGTTTTTTTTTTCAGTTGTTAATACCAGAATAAATTTTGCTTCAAGGAGTATAGAGTATATCATCTGGTAGTTTTTTTTAAGGGATACATTATACCAGTGCCTCAGGATAATCTCTGACTTGTTGTTACATTGTTTAGTATACGTGAGAGTCGGTGCCTACTTTGGAAATGGAGTCAGTTACATATAGAGAGTATGTCAGTCATGGATGTTAGTCGTATGTTAGTTGTGGATACACTATACCATTGCCTTAGGATAATCCATTCTGATTTATGTTAGTCATGGATGCAGAGAGCATCAATATTTCACAAATAGTATAAGAGTTATAAATGGAACTCTATTCCTCTGTTTTTTAGAACTGAAAGAGTTTGATTTGTTTAGAGAGCAATTGAAAATAGTGCAATGGATATACAGTGCGTCCCAGAAAAAAGAAACCTAGAAATATCAATGTTTTATCATAACGTAATCACAAATATAATTGATAAATGACATATGTAAAGCTTAGATCCTCCTCTTTTATTTGATTCAACTCATTTGATGCACATTTAATGCATGACTGATTAAAATGAATTTGAAGAAAGGGAACAAAAAAATTCATTTGGTGGACGGTATCTGAATTTCAAAGAGAAAATCACATTTTTAGAAAGCTCAGTTGCTGCCCTTTGATATGACACCTCAATCAGGAAAAATGAGCAAGGAATAACAAAGTTCTGTTAGTTTAAAGTAATGCTTGCATTTCCATAATTTTATTAAACAAATTCGTTTTCACGGGCTGCCTGCCGTAGCAACAAGCAAAATTTATTCCATTTCGTTGACAATCAGCCGTGCATGAAGTCTTTCATCTATGGCTGATCGTCAACGAAACGGAGTTAAGTCTTTTGTCAATTCTGTTTGTTGCTTATTTGAAACACAAAAGAAAAAAGCTGTTAACACGGAAAATAAGACAGAGGGAGCAAAGAGGGGGGGGGGGCATGAAAGAAAGGAAATCAAAGAAGAAATCACTACAAGATTAAAAAAGAACAGATTCAAGTTTCTTAGAAAAGAGTTGAAGTATGAACATATGTAATGGACCAAATGTAACTTGCAACTAATGTATCATTGTTTCAAACCAGATTTAGATTTCATTTTGTCTCATGTCATTATCTGTTTGTGATATGTTGGTGTTTTGCAGAGTCTTTTTCTGGTATTCTGGAGTCCTAGAAAAGAATGATGAATGTTGATCACTTCTGAGAAAGCAATTGCCCTGCAGTAGTTCCCAATATTGATCAAGTTACACTGTTCTTTGTCTTCTTCTTTTCACATGACATGTACATGTATACCAGGTAGTATACTTTTGCAAAGTTCACAGATACATGCAAATTTAACTGTTTTTAAAGATAAACTTAAGTTCTGGTAAAAAAAGAAAATGAATTCTCACAGAATCTAACAAAACTTACACTAAATGTTCAAGATTACAAATAAATGACATGTGCCAAACAATTTTGGAAGAAAATGTATACTGGCTGAGTAATGAGCATAGAAAGATAAGGAAATCAGGGTAGTACTAGCCCCGACACCATGTGTGTTGTCCCATATACATCTTTCTGTGTAAGTGATTGTTACTTTACCAAGACTCTGCCAAATTTATGATGATTTTGATGACTCCAGAACCTTGCATTACACACCATTAATTACTTACATGCTATATGATCAACTTTTCTGATCCATTCCACACCTTTTCTTTCACAATGCAATCGCATTACCAGAACTCAAGTTTATCTTTAAGCTCATACAGTTAACAACTACATTATTCATACTCTTTCCAAGTTTTTAAATGTTTTAAGTACCTGTATTTGAAAAATTGATTTGTCCTTCTGTGTCTTGAGAATGTGACAAATTAAAGTTCATATGTAAAAATATCCAACAAAGGCTCTAATTTAATCAGTCCATCTTTCATTTTTGAGTTATGAGAAACAACAAAAATATACAGCAAATTGTAATACAAGGAGTATGAATAATCTAGTCTTTAGCTACACATGTCCTGGTATTGGTCATATGTCCCCCCCCCCCCTAGCATTCCATTTCATGTTGTTTGTATAAATGAGGAAGAGAAACAGGAACACGAATCAAAGAACCATGAAACATTTCCAGCCTTCCATCCATGAAATCTAGATGTGGTGTGAACTTCCTCAGTGTTGTCGTTTTGATGTGATTCTACCTAGAGGGGTGTTATTCATTCCCTTTCTATTTGTACGCACCCCATGGAATTGAAGATAATGAGAAATGACTAGGATGCCTGGAGATCTAACATTCTGTTTACATGGATACAAGTTTCTAGATCTTCAGCCCTTGGGGACAAGAAGCAGAGGGAGTGTTTTGTTTTGTTTTGTTTAATGTTCTATTATAGAGGGGTAGGGTAGGGGTAGTGTCCCAAATTTCATCAGGTCACAATGGGAATGTAGTAGTGGTACTTTTTAAAGCGATCAACAAATTATATTTCTTTTTTATACTTTTAAAATAGTGATTTCTCTGGAGTGACTTTTAATGGGGTCACAGGTTTCATGTTGATGTAACAAAACAAATCTGTCATTGATATATCTGTTTTTGTGGATCTCCCAATTGCCATTGCTTACATTAAATATAAATGTGAATTTAAATTTTATAAATGTTTTTCCAAGGGTAGAGAAGACATCAAAATATATGTAACGTAAACAAGCATTATCGTGTCAGTATTCACTTTGAAACAGATCTGTAGTGTAATATAATTTCTCCATTTCTTGATAAAAAAATGTTCATACTCATTTGCTTTAATAAGCCCTGCTTAATAAAGCAGCAACTAATGTATGCAAAGAAATTCCATGTGTATAAGTGATATTATACATGGATGTTGACATGGGGAGAGCGTTAAAATGTGTTCGATCAATGAAATAATGATGTTTTTGCTTGTACATGGTTATGTTTTATGATTTGTATCCATCTATTATATCTTCCTATGAACAGGTGGTTTTCCATGCCCTCTCCGAAGGACTTCATAGTACCAGCACTGTCCATGACAGCTTGTGATATGCTGCAGAGTCTGAAAGAGAGACT